TATTTCTTCTTTTGTTATTTTTGTTTGTTTGAATTTATATCTTCATTTCTTCATTTCTTCACTTTATTCTTATTATTTTCAAATTATTCATTATCATTTCAACTTTCTCATTTTTGATTTTACTTTTATGATTTATTTATCATCACTTATTGTATCATTTTATCATTTCTTTTGAAGTTGAATTATTCTTTTATTTGTGTTGTATTTCTATTTCTTTCTCATTTTCATCTCTGATGAGATGTTTCTTTCATTCGTATTTTTATCTTCCATTTTCATGATAATAAGTATTGTTATTCTAAAACAATAAAAATTAATGAATATTAAAATGATTAAAATAATGCTTGAATTGTTGTGTTATTAAAGTGTATTTAACTATTTAAATATTCATATTTTGAAATTATAGCAGTCAAAGTAAATTGAAATTGAATCAGTAATTAATAACCAATTAATTAAAGAAGTAGTAAAAACATTTCAAATTATTCAACAATCAATTAATGATATTATTAATAATTATCATTGTTATTTAGAAAGTATTAAAAAGAGAGGAGAATAAATTGAAATTGAAGAAATAATCAACAACTAGAAGAACAGATAAAAAAGAATAAACAATATACTATTTAATTCAAATATTGATTATTGGAAAGTTAATACATCAATGTTTGAAGAAAGAATAAAGAAGAAAGAACATCTAATAATTAATATTGAAGATGAAGAATGAAATAAATTTGGAGGATGTTTTAATCCTAAAATTGATAAAAATGATGGTTTTATAAATGATTCAAAACAATTTGTATTTTCATTAAAATAAAAATGAATGATGAAATTTGATATTAAACAATAAAACAAATTTATTTAATAACTCAATGCATTATTTGAATTTTGAAATGATGATATCCTTGTTTATAAAGAAAATGATAAAACAAATTCATATTTTAAACAACGTTCATTTGAATAAGGATGAATATCAATTACATTTTGTTAAAATATATTTTCACAATAAAACGAATCATAGTAATTGAAATGATTCATCTTGAATAATTGAAAATGAATTAAAAAAGAATAGTAAACAAAACAATGAAGAATATGAATGTTTTGAAGATAGTGGTATTAAGTATTTATGTCATTCATTCATGTAAATATACTCTTCTCATTTTTTATTATGTTATTCATTACTTAATATTTCATTAACATAATCATTAATTTGGATTGAACATCATTACAACAATGATAAAACAAAAAGTTATTCCTAACTTTATTAGAACTATTATTTATTCTTTGTATAGTCATAATACAACATTGAATTAGTACACCAAGAATATGTATTAATGTTAATAAATTCATTTATCATTAACATCAATGTATTCCATATTTATTAGACAATTTTATTAATGACTATAATTGATACTTTTGAATTAACATATTCATTTATTAAAGTCATTCTTTCAACTTCTTTATTAGCTTTTCATTTTAATTGATTATTTATCTTCTTCCATTCTCTCTGTAAGATATTCAATGTATTTCTTGTGTCATACTAAATATTAACAACAATTGACTCTTCAATAATATTTATTCATTCTTCATTGTAAACAGACATAGTTATTGAATGTTCATGACAATAAATAAAACAATAAGAATGATTAAATAAGAGAATAATACAATAACTATAAATTAATAGAATGGTAAAGTCAATTCTAATTTATTAATTAACTCTTAAAAACATGAATAACTCTTTTTTTGAATAAATGAATGAAAATAAGGAATTAACAATGGACAAAAATAAGTGATGGTTATATTAATTGAAATTCAAACATTTCAATCATCAAAACATCAAATAACAAAATAAAAAAATAAGAAATAATCTAAATATAATAACAACACAATGACATCAATGTAATAAAAACATTATAATCATATTTATTTTCAAACATCACTTATTTCCATCTACTTAATACTTCTTATGTTGTTATAAATATGGTATTTTTCAAAACAAGTTTTTTACTTAATGATAAAGTTTATTTAAGAAGTAAAAACCAAATGAATAGAATTAAAGAAAGTGTTGAATTAATGAAAACACTTATTTCATGGCATCACCAGTAGCAAACTTTTGTAACTTGATAGTAACCTTCTTTGATTTGTCAAGATGTTGATAATAATCTGCTAAAATCTTAAGTGATTCAGCACGTCCAAAATGATCTGGAAGAGTTTTTCCTTCTGATAACATCTTTCTCACCATAGTTCCTGAAACAATAACTCTGTCTTTCTTAGTGTGAGGACAAGTTCTTAATGATGCCATTCCATCACATTTATGGCAATAGAATGTCCAATCGATTTTCATAGGTTGAGTTAAGAGTCTCTTCTTAGGATCAGCATTGTATGGGATTTTATCAAAGATTTTTTGTGCATCAAATGGTCCATAATAATCTCCAACACCAGCATGATCTCTTCCAATAATCATATGTGTACATCCATAATTTTGTCTAAATGTAGCATGAAGAAGAGCTTCTCTTGGTCCTCCATATCTCATATCAAGTGGATATCCTCCTTGAAGGACATTCTTTTTAACAAAATATTTATCAACAAGTGCATCAATACATTTAACTCTTACTTCAGCTGGAATATCTCCTGGTTTAAGATTTCCTACAAGTGAATGAATAAAAACTCCATCACAAACTTCAACTGCAATTTTAGCAAGAAACTCATGTGATCTATGCATTGGATTTCTTAATTGAAGTGCAGCAATTGTTTTCCATCCTTTCTTAGCAAAGTTAAGTCTAGATTCTTCTGGTGTCATATAAATTCCTTTATATTTAATTGGAAATTCTCCTTCTGAAAGTGTTGTAACTTTACCTGCAACATTAAATGGTTTTTGTTCCATAACTTTTTTAACTCCTGGATGGTCTGAATCTGTTGTAGTGAAAATATCTTTACATTCCATTTCCTTATCTTTCTTAGTCATTTCATAAACTTGGTCAATTTCAATAGTTCCTGAGATATCATTAATATCTTTGTTATATTTTAATGCAACTTTTTGTCCTCTCTTTAATTTCTTTGCTTCTTCTTCTGAAACTGACATTGTAATTGGAATTGGCCAAAATGTTCCATCAGCAAGTGTGAAATTCTTACAAACAGAGAACCAATCTTCTTTTTTCATAAATCCATTTAATGGTGAAAATCCTCCAATTCCCATCATAACAAGATCTCCAAATTCTCGTGATGAAATATCAATCTTTGGAAGTGACTTTGCTTCTTTAATACATTCATCTCTTTCAGCTCCATATTTTAATGTTTTAATGAGTTTTCCTCCATGTGGTTTAATCAAGTTGTTTAAGTTTTCTTGAATGCTCATTTGTCATTTTTTAGTTATTCTCTGATCTATAAATCTTCCTCTTCTTTTCAAACTCCCCTTTTCTTGTTGTATTTTCCCTTAATTATTCTTCAAATTCTTCATTTTTTGCTTTGTTGTATTGCTAAACGTTCACTTTCTTGAACTTATTCTTTTTCTTTAAATTCTTGAAATTCCTTTTTCTCTTCTTTCTAAAAAATAAATTGAATATTTTACTATTTTCTATAATATCCTTTCTATTATTTTATTATCCACAAAATATTCACAATTTTGATTATTAGATTGATTTGATGTTTCATTTTTTGAATATTTCATTTATTCTCATTCTATCATTGTGGTGTTTATAACATTTAATTCATCTATTCTTGTGATGGTTGACTCTTCAAAATGAAAAGACAGTGCATTAAAAGAAACATTGACTTGAATTAGAAGAGAATGGGTAGAATGAGAAATGAGATGTTTAAGTTGTTTACAAAGGTTGAAAGAGTAAAAACAGTTGACCAAGAATATCAGATGATTAGAGAAAAATCCATTGAATCAGAAAAGAAGTTATTCTCAACATTACAAACAATTATCAAACTCAAAAACACACTTCATGAAGCTGCTTTACTTCAAGTTGAAATTTCATACTCATTATGTGAAATGACACTAAACAACCTCAAAGCAACACAACTGACTAACTCCATTTTGAATGCATCACAGGATATTCTGAATCAACAAAACTATTTCAATTCATTCATCAAAGATAATGTAGAAATCCCTCTCCATTCATTTCTTAATCAATTCAGAATGTTAAGTAGAAGAGACTGTGAGTTGGAAGAAAGAAGAAAAAAAATGGATAAAATAAAACAACAAGTAATGAAGAAAAAGAAAAAGAAATTAGCATGTTCTTCTTTAATTTCCATCAACAAGAAATATCAACAAAGTAAAGAAGAATATTTAGAAATGAGAAATGAATTAAAGAATGATAGAAATATTCTCCTTAAAACAATTTCAGAGATAGCAGAAAGTATTGGTCAAGTATTTATTAGAGAAGGATGGGGTTGTCTCACAATGAACAGTAAAATTTGGGAGAGAGTAAGTCAATATCATTGGAAAGATGAAGAAAAGAACATTTTAGAACTGACTAATGTCATCACTAATTCAGTCAAAACACACTCTGTTCAAAACACCACCAGAAAACCAACGAATGTATTTCATGGAAGAGTTGTTTATAGTTACAACCCACAAAATGAATCTGAATTGAAATTAGAAAAAGGAGAATGGATCACAGTTATTTCTACTGATGGAGAATGGTGGGAAGGAGAAAGTAAAGGGAAAATAGGAATATTTCCATCTCATTATGTTGAACGAGACGTTAAAATCAACTAAGAAATTGTTTGTGCAATAGTTTATTCAAAATCAAATGACTAATTATTTATACAATGAAATGTTGTGTTTTTAACATGACTATGATAGAACAAATATGAAATAAATGAGTATAGATATGATGTTCATATTAAAATACACAATACACAATGTTAGAATGATTATTTCATAACTAAAATAATAACACAAAAACATTATATAAATCAATTAATGATGATAATAACATCAGAAAGATAAGAATAATATGTTATGTTTATAACAAAGATAAAACAAATTAATAAAAGAGAAGAATAAGAATAAGTTATGAGAAATTAAATGAAATAATTTGAAGATAAGAATAAAAAGAAAATAAACAAGGAAAAAAAATGACAATGAATGTAAAACAAACAAAACCAAATGAATTAAATAACATAATGAAATAGTACAAATAGATTTGAAGAATAGAAATGGTGATGTTTTCAGATTTTTAAGAAAAAAATCATAATACTTCACCGTCAAATAATGAATAAAATAAAATTATTTATATTTCAATATTGTAATATTATAATATTGTAATAATGTAACATTCAATGTCATAGTTACATTGATGGTTTATTTATTTTATTTGTTGATTGAAAACTCATTGATTTTTCTAATTATAAAACATTCAAAAATTAAACAAGATGAATAATTATATAAAACTCTATTTGTGTATCTCTTTGCATAAAACGTAAAATTATCTTATTATTTCAATGGAATACTGATTCAATTAAACTAAAACACATTTTATCTCCTTTCCTATTTATATTCATTCTTATTTTTTCACATCATCACTAATAATAGTATGTGATGTAAAGAAACGTATTCTTTTCAATGGAATTGACTTTGGGGGTTCTACGTATGGAAAATACTTAGAAACATCACAATATGAATTATGTTCCTTCATATAAATAACGTTGATATCTTTAGAGAATGAACAATTTAACTGATTATCAACAACAAATGCAAAAGGAGAACTAAAGATAATGGATGAACCTAATGGAATGTAAAACGATGTAGTGAATATCCGATAATCAAATGTGTTTATTTCATCACTTTCTAATGAACAAGAGAATATGTAATGACGTTGGTCAGTTATTCCAATTCCAATGTACGATGGTGCTTTTGATACATAACAACCAAAACAATTATCATTATAATCTTCTGCGACAAAATAAACATCTCTTTCTCTTTGGATGTAATTGAATATTGTTGTAGAAGATAATAAACTATTATTTGAGTCATATAAAGTTAATACATCTTTGTTAGAAAGAATGTTAACTATTCTCTCTGCTCTATCTTTTTCATCAGTATAATGTAGAAATTGTGGTTGGTTAAATGAAATAACTTGCATTAAATTTGAAGATCTTAACAATTCAAATGATGAGCGATGTTTTTTATAACAAATTATTATTGAATAATAATTTAATAATTAAAAGAATAAATAAACCCTTATTTATTTTTCAAGCACTTATGCTTTAATATTATCGATTATTATATTACATGACGCCAAAAGTTATGAATTGTATTTTCGTCATTATGACAAAACAATTGCCTAATGACACGTTGAGGAATTGTGTTGTCTTTTGTTATAAAATCAATTAAATGAATACTCAAATATTATGTCATATACAATGAGTATTACTAAAACATATAAAAACTTTCAGAAGCTTTGTTGTTCAGAATGAATAACACTTATTTAAATAAAACAAATTACTTTGTTACTTTTCATACCAAAGTCTTTGAATCACATCACAAACATAATTATCTGGTTATTAACGTTAGACTAACTCAAAGAAGACGTTGTGAACAGATGGTTGTCATTAAATAAAATGATTTTATTTGAGGAAAATAAGTTATAACTCTAGTTAAATACAAAAATTAAAAAATAAAATGATATTCCTCATCAAATTCACCTCTTTTTTCATGTGAATTATATTGAAAATGCACTAAAAGTATCCATAAAATTCATTTAATAAAAGTCATTAATATTATTAAGAGGTTTGAGAAGTTTACAATAAAATATGAAACAAATTGACAAAAAGATTATATCTGAAGAATATTTGAATAAGGAAAATGAGTTAACAATCACAACCAACTCATGTTAAAATGAATGAAATATACTTTCTTCATAACTAAACAACACTCATTGTTTAATGTTTTTTGTTATTATATTTTGTTTTTGATTTTCATTGTTTTTAGTTTTTTCTCAGACACTTTTTCCTAAAATAGAAATTAAAAAATATCTGAAGCAGAAGATGTGCTTTTTTCACTCACAAACATCGATGTTTTGAAAAAAGACAAAAAATCTAAATTAAGAATAATGATTTTTTTAAAAACATATTACAAAATACTAGTAAAAGAACTAACAAAGAGGTAAATGGAAATTCTTCAAATACACGATTTTTCCAAATTCTTTCAATGAATTAAGGAAAAGAATAAAATAACCAACCAATCAAAAGAGAGATGCGACAGACACATGAACTTAATAATCAAAAAAAAAATCAAAATAATTAAAAAAGAAGAATAATGAGCAGATTAATTGAAGATGAAATGTTTGTACCAATTTCAAGTGATAGTATTAATGATATTTCCAATCAAGTTACTTCAGTAAAAGAAACAGTAGATGAAGTTCTTAAAGGTGCTAAAAAACAAGGAATTAAAACAATCAAATATATGTCAATTTTACTTTTATTATTTACAGTACATGCTATTGTTGGATATATCTATTATTATTATGTTAATGAAGATGATTAAGTGAAATAGTCTTTATGGATTTGTCTTAATTCAAAAAGTATTAAGATAAGACTGTATATTATTAATTTATTTCTTTTAATTCACATTTATTTGGAAATTTCATCTGTTATAGTTTGGTTTAATTTAAAAGTTATAAAAGTGTCTTAATTATTATGTCCCCATTCATTATTCATATTAAATAAGTTTTTTTCATCACATAGTTGGTCATGATAAATTTTCATAAAATTTGGAAGAACACAAAATCGTAAGTTTTTTAGTTGACTGAGCATCTTAATTCCAATAGAAGTAATTAAGGTACAACGTGCAAGATTAATAGCTTGTAATTCTTTACATGATGAAATTATTTTCTTTAATCCAGTATTTGTAATTGAAGTATTAAATGATAAATTCAATGCAATAAGTCCTGTAAGAATAGCAATTTGGTTTAGGTCAGTGTCATTTAATTTTAAATATGTAACATCAAGAGATTTTAACATTGTTAAATGAGTCAAATTAAGTATAAGTGTATTTGTATATCCAATAGATAATCTTTTCAAATTTGGAAATGAAGGTATTTTTATGATAGAACTTCCAAACAAATCTAAAGACTCTATTTTCTCACAATGATTATAAGTACACAAACATCTATCATCCAATGATTTATTAAATGTTAATGTTAATTTTTTTAAAGGAGGTAACCCAGAAATAAACGAACCTTCAAGTCCTGTACAATCTGAAATTGTGAGTTGTTCTAAATGTACATTCTTTAGATTCTCTTTTAAAACAGAGTCTGTCAATTCTTCATTATCACTAATTGTTAATTTTTTTAACTTTTTGAAATGGTTAAATTGTTGAATACTTTTTGGTCCAATCTTAGGCATATTAATTAATTCAATCTCCTTAATGTATGGAGAGAATTGTTTAACATTCTTAAAACTGAAATAAGGAATTGATGATAATTTGATTGTTTTCAATGATTCTACATGACAAATCAACCCATTGTCTAAAAGTGATGGAAAGTCATATAACATTAACTTTTTTAAATTCAATAAATTGTTAATGTTTAGATGAGTAGCATTTGAAAAGAATATTTCAAGATATGTTAACATTTTTAAATCCATATTAGATAATAAATTACATGACTCTTGTGTCATATGTCTAATAGAAAGTGATTGTAACCATTTTGTTGTATTAAGTATAGAAATAATTGGTGTTGATATTTCATTAATAACAACATTTGAACAATGAGGAAAGATTGAAAAAATTTGTGATTTGGAATAAATTGAACATTGTAATGGAAAATAGTTTAAGAACATTTTCCATTCTCTACATACAAGTCTACAATTTAATAAATCTTTAAGTTCTAAATATTCAAAGACTTTTGTTTGATAAATAAATTTTAAAGGCGAGTTGCCTTTTTTATTCTTGTTACTTCGTTGGCAATTCATATTTCTTTTTAATTCTTATTACCTCTTATTAATAATTATCTTTTCATCTAAACATGTTATATTTTTATTTGTTCTTTTAATGATAATGTTTGTATCTTTATGAATATAAAGTAAATCTTTAAAATTAATTTTGAATGAAAACAATGAAATTAAAAGCTGATTTTGAATTGATAAATTTTAAAGGATCTTAACGACAATGACAGTCACATTATCTCTACATTCCGTTATTTTCATTGATTCTTCCATAATGACTTTGGGTGCTTCGGAGACTTGAGTGTTTTCCATCATTTCAAATGCCTTTTCTGGTGTGATTACATCCCAAATACCATCACTACATAAAATAATTTCATCCCCACTTTCTAATACAATAGCTGGACTAATATATGGTGTGCCTATCATTCCAATATTTAAATTTTTTACAAAATGATTAGCTAATGTACGTGCTACTCCAACTCCATTAATTCTTTTTTGTCCTTCAACTAATGTAATTCCTGCTTCTTTCATTCTTTTTTGTTCACATGCTGATGTTACTTTATGATCTTGTGATAATGTGATGATTTCTGGTTTTCCTTTATTCATCTTTTTAACAAAACATGTTGAATCTCCAACATTTCCACTTCTAATATATACCTTATTATCTTCTTCCCATATATATATTAATGTACATGTACATCCAATATCCATAAACTCTTCTTTGTTCATTCCTTCATCAACTTCTGAAAATCCTTTTTCTAATATCTCTTTACTATCTAATCCTTGTTCTATCAATTTTTGAATAATATTTGGTAATGTTCTTCTTGTTTCTCTTGCTGCTCCTATTCCTCCATATCCATCAAAAATTCCAAATATTGATTTCTTTTCATCTCCTCTAAATGACATCCCACAATAGTGTTCATCTTCCATTAAATCTTCGTCTGTTAAGAGTCCTTTCTTTTCTGAAAAATAATTTAATCCAACTGGTTTCTTTTTGGCTCTTCTAAGTCCTTCTCTATTACAATCTTCTCCTGATGAATATTCAATATATTTATTTTTCCCTGTTTTTTCAAACTCTTCTAATTCTTTTTCTTTCTTTACTTTTTTCTTTCTTTTTTTCTTTTTCTTTTCTTCTTCTGTTGTGTGTATTTCTTCTTCTCCTGTCTCCGTTGTTTTTTTGTGACTCTTCTTTTTTCTAAGTGGTTTTCTTCCTGTAATTTCTTCTTTGTTATCTTCTTGAGTGGTGTCTGTTTTGATTTCTTCTTTCGTCTCAAAAATTCTTTCTTCTACTTTAGTCTCCTTTGTTCCTATATCTGGTATATTCAGACTTTCTTCTGTTTCTTCAACTTCTTGTTCAACTCCTTTCTTTATATTTTCTTCTGTTTCTTTTTTCTTTCTTTTTATTACTTTTCTTCCATCTAATGGTTTTCTTTTTATTTCTACTTCTTCTTTTATATCTTCTTCTTTTTCATTAATCTTATCTCTTAATTGTAGTTTTGTTAATCCTTTCACTTCTTTTTTATCTGCATTTTCTTTAATTTCTTTTTCTTGCTTTATTTGTTCCTTTGCAATTACCTCATTTTCTTGTTTTGTAAAACACTCAACTGTAATACCTTCTTCAATAACTTCATTTGTAGTTTTTGTTTTTTCTTTCTTCACTTTTTTACTCTTTGTGCTTTTTAATGCTTTTCTTTCATTTAACTTCTTTCTTTTTGGTTTATCTTCATTTTGTTCTCCAAAATCTTCTTCAACTTGCTCATTAAGATTGACTTCAGTCAGATTAATTTCATTATTCTCTGTATTTTCGTATTTATATTCCTTCTCACTCCCTTCTTCAACACACTCTTTTATTTTTTCTTGACTTGTTTGTTTTTCTTTTTCTGAATTTTCGTCTTCTTCATCTGTGGGGTGTGTTTTCTTAGACATATTTGTTTTCTTGGTGCCTTTCTTTTCCTTGAGCACTTTTCGTTTTGGCTGAGGAAAATCTTTTTCCTTTTCATCGTTAATGCCAACCCCCGTTGTTTGAAGACACTCACTGAGTTTTGTTCCCTCAGACATAAGATTAGTGGATTTCAGATTAAAGATTTTCTTTTTCTAACTCATTCAGTCAAAGGGTTTTTTCCCTCTTTTTCAGCCTTATCTTTACAATCAGGATCTGATAATTCTCTTCTATTTTGGAAATATCTTCCTTTTTGTTATGCATATCGAAAACAATGCAAATTAATGAAAATATATGGAAATGATGAGAAATTCCCATAACCCAAACTGTGATTTTCAAATGTCAACACCATCCGAAAGAATAAACACTCGTCAATACAGCACCTTTTCTCATAGATATATCAAACTAATTAATTTTTATTCTCAAGAACATCCAACACTTGATGTTATGAAATCAATAGATACAAGTGATGTTAGAGTTGAGACTCAACGAGAGATTATTGATGAGGCAGCAAAAAGGTATGAAGAAGTTCCTAGTGAACAAGTATCAAAACTCAGATTAGACCAAATATTTAACAACAAAATTCCAGTTTCATCAGACAGAAAACCAAATACACAACTAACATATCTTGAAGAACAACTCTTTAAAAAACAAATTGTTGTTACTAAAGAAGCAAAAAACTCATTAAAAGAACCACTGACATTTACATTTTCTTCTTCATTAAAAGAAGGAGATAGTATTATGACTATTAAAGTTTTTGACTTTTCTAAAAAGAATTTTGACTGTTGGATTGAAGTTAAAACAACTAATACTATAAGTGAACTTAGAACTGTTATTCCTTGTCTCACTCAAAAAGGAATTAATGACCCAGATTTTATATTTATTAATGACACATTCTATACATCCCAGAATAATCAAGAACAAGTTATGTATAACTTAGTTGAGTGGAGAGAATATCGAAATTTTCAATATTCAAGATTCCCATCTCATTTTCAGTGTTGTATTGAAGACTTTGAATTAGGTAAAATTGATATTGAAATAGATGAGCCATATTTATATGGGCATCTACTGGATTGTGAACATATTTTTATAGTCTCAGACATTAGAGTTCCACTACAAGAAGATAAGAATGGTAAATATCCAAGAATTATATTCAGAAAACGAAAAGAACAACAAAGATGTAATATTTGTGATTCAAGAAAAGCAGAGATTGAAGTGACAGGGGATAGTGCAGGAATATCTGATCCATCATATTATTGTAAAGAATGTTTTTCTTTATTACATAATGATATGGACATAGGATTTGAAAAGAGAGATATTTGATTGGTTCAAATTTTATTAATAAGAATGTAAGAAATATAAAAATTGTTATATTGTTTTTATTATTTTTTTTTTTTAATACAAAATTTGAAAAAAAAGGTTCTTAAGTAGGATCTAGATTATAATAATGTATAGATAATTAAGTTTGTAAATACCCTTTCATAAGATTCTATGGTCTTGTTATCAAAGGTAGATTATTACTGATAAATTAATAAATAATTTTTATCACAAGATAAATAGAAAAATAAATAAAATTCAATCACGAATAGATATCTAAAAGACCATTATATCCATGATAGAAGAGATTTATAGGATAGTATTTGAAGAGTAAAGAATATATTTTCATTTAACATCTTTTGATAAGAAGATTTAGAAATAATCATAAAGAAAGTCAATGACAAAGCATAACGTGGAGAACTCAAAAAGTTGAGATAATAAAAAGTAAAAATAGTAAAAAAGAAGGAAAAGGAAAGTTAAAGAAAATGAGATCCACTAGAAAACAGGAAAAACATAATAATGTCAGCATTTCCTCTGCAAGAGCAAAACAAAACACAAAATTTTGAGTGTTCAATCTCTAAAATCGGAGGGGAATGGTGTTTTATTCCACCTAATACTATTATTGAACAAATTCAAAAGGAAGTTTCACGATATTCAAACCCCAAACAATCACAAATTAAATCCATATTTAATAGTTTTTATCCAAGACATATTCAACCACTTGCGTTGAATACACAATTACATATTGCATATGAAATATTAAGAAGACATTTGAGTTTTAAGATGATTGGGATTATGATTATTTTAAAGAACATAAATAAAATTGATGAACGACATATTGAAGATATTGGATTAATTTTAGATAATCATTTACATGATCATACATCTATTGAATGTATCTCTACTAAATTATTATATGAATTAATTGTTGCACGACCAAATATTTTTCTTTCAAAATTAGAAAGTTGGAAGAATAAAAATAATTGTCCATGTAGAATGAGAGCGTGTTGTAGTACATTTACAAAATATTGTAAAGAAAAACAAGGAGATCAAATATGGGAAGTTTGTAGTGCATGTATTAAAGTAAATGAAAGATTTGTTCAATTAGGTGTTGGATGTTGTTTAAAAGAATTATGTAATGTAGATGAAAATAAAGTGATTGAATTTATTAAGAAATATGTTCAATTATTTAGTAGAGATGGATTAAAGTATGCTGTTGAAAAAATCAAAGACGTTTCAATTAAAAGGGAATTACTTAATTTATCTCGTAGTAAACAGAATGGGATTGGAGAATGTGTTAATGGTAGTAATAAAGTGTCAGAGGATATAGTTTCAAATTAAATTACGAATTTGTTATTTATGTAAAGAATAATGTAATTTTTGTTTTATTTATTTTTTTTCTAAAAAAGAAAAATAGAAAAATGATGAAATAAAAGGAAGTATATTAATTACAAAGTGAAGTTAACAAATTCATCATAATATATGAATGTTGTTGAGCTATTGAGTCATTCCCAAATTTACTTAAAATTAATAAATTGTTATATAGTTGATTAACAACATTTTGAATGGAACCTATTACTATAGAATTCATAGTTGTTAATGTCTCTGTATCATCACTAATAGATGTCATACTTCCATCTTTCAATTTATAATATCCTCTATTATTAAACAATCCTTTTCCTGATTCTATTTGGGGACAATGATTAAAGGCATCAAGAATTGATTTCTTCCAATTTTGTTTCTTAACTACATAATAAGTTTATACAATTTTTATATTTCATTTTATTTATTATTAAAACAAACATGTTGTAAGATTGGATAATATATTCCAATGTTGTTGAATGAAAGAATATACATCATCTCTCAAATTAAAATAATCTTGTAATGGTTTTATTTCTTTCAATGATTGAAGTATCAAAACACAAAGTCTTGTTGTTTTAATTTTTGGTTTCTCTGTTGTAAAAAATCTAACTTTTCTACAAATTGTACATTGGCATAAAACAGCTCTTTGACCTTCAGTACAACTCATGAACCGATGAATATTTCATAGACTTCCGAGTTTAACTACTCACTGGGGTTTTGAATCAGAATATTCCTTATTTCTATTTTTACATTTTCATCGAATTTCATTGTTACGTGGCATGTGTTTCATGATTATTTCAATGCACTATTAATTGGATCTACTTCTCTCACCTCTAATTTATATTTTTGGATCAAAGAAGATTCTTTTTTCCCTGAATCTTTGATTTAAGTATTAATACTACATTTTATAGTATTTTTATAATTCTTGAATTGACAACTAGAATTGCATTTGACTTAACAAAACAATAATGATTGTTTTTCCTGATTATTTTTTGTCATACTAACTCACTTGAAGTTTTTGGTACTTTTTGTTTTTATTTAGAGTATTTTTTGTTTTGTATAACGAAATATAATGAAAAATAAATATAATAAAGATATTTTACATAAAATCAGTGGAAGTTAAGGTAGTTTGATGAAGTTTTTTGAAGAATTATATAAGTATCTTTAGAATTGAAAAAGAATCTAAAACTCATTTAGTCCATTTAAACAATGCAAAATCATGAGATTATGATAAGATATATTGAAGAATATCCAGTTGAAAATATTGATGAAATAAGGTTTTTCTTAAATAATGCTGATTTAAGGGATGAAGAAATAGAAGAGATAATAAGGGTATTAACTCAGATGGCTATGAAAGCTGATAAAGAGAGTTTAAAATGTATTACTCTTTATATTCATTTGTTAATGGAACGACTCATTACTGAAACTCAATTTGTGAGACATCCAATAAAACATGATGGATGGAAGAAATTACGACTTGATCCTTCCTTTATGAATAGTAAAATGCTTAAAATGCCTATTGACATTCAAATATTTTTGTCAAAGTTGTTTGATAAAGAAGAAGTTATGAAGAGGATAAAAAGTAATGACATAGACATTTCATTAAAGAAAAGAATTACATCTCTTATTCAATGGTATCCTAAAGAAATGCAGTGTGTTGAAAGTCCAGATTATATGAAGATTAATGACATGATAGTCAAAGAAAAAAATAATGAGAATTACCAAATAAGTCTCAAAGAATTATATACAGTAGATGGTTTAGATGAAATGAAACTTGTTGGGTTATTGTTAGTTTATGGAATTGTTCATAACAAGAAAGCAATACTTGAAGAGATGGATCATTTAATTCAACATCTAGTTAATAAACCATTAGGAATTTATTTTACTAAATATTTTGTTCAGACATTAAGAAACTATAAAGAAGAAATATGTCAAGAAACAATGGAAATTATTGAGAATGGAAATGCCATTAAAACAATAATATATTCTTTAGGAGAAGATCTTATTCTACTAAAACCATATAATGCAAAGTCGATATTTTATTCACTAATTCAATTATTTCCAAAGACTAGTATTCAAGAGATATTAAAAATAAGTCAAGTTATTGATTTTACTGATGATAATATATTTTTAGTACAAATTGGAGTTATTAATATCTTTGTATTGATGATTCAAGAAATGATTAAAATGTCTCATGAAGAAATGATAAATATTATTCAAATGATTTCACAATTCATCATAAAACATCAGAACATAAAAATTATTCAATTATTTTGTGATTTCATTTATGCATCATGGAAATTAATACAACAAAAAGGAATATATGAAACAATTATTTACGAAGTTATTGTCACAACAACCAAAAATATACTTGAAGGAATTATTCCAGTAAATGATAAGAATAGAAAGAACTTATCAAACGTTTATTTATTATTATTCAGTGAAAAACATGAATATTGTCAAAGGATCTTGAATATGATTATTGACAAATGTATAGAGAAAAATATTGACATGGAACATATTCAGTATATCTTTATTGGATGCAATCAATCTATGAAATGGTCTGAGAAGATTACACAATTTTGTATTGAGGAATTAATAGAAAAGAAAGAAATTAAAGAAGAAAATACAAAGAGAAGTATTATGTTATTAAGACTATTAAAAAGTGGGATGAATAAAGAAATGATTATCAAGAATGAAGAAGTTTATTATCAAATATTTGATTCATTTATAAAATATGATATATTAAAAACAGTGATTGATGAAGTAAAAGGTATTTTCATTAATACATTATTATATTCTTACAATAAAGACAAAAATGATCATAAATTGATTGAAATATTTCATAGATATATGAAACATTGTATTATATCACATTTAGATTGTTTATATGATTTTGTAATGAACAATTGTATTGATAAAGAACAACAAACATATATTTATCAAGAAGTACAAAAAATTAAAATTGACCAAACAACATTGTATTTCATGAATAAATGTTTTAAAGATGAATTACAGATATTAATTGAACGAATGACAATTATAGGAAGGAAATTAAGTTCAATGAAACAAGAAGAAAAGTTACAAGAAATATATTATGGTATTATTGAGAATTGTATTAAGAGAAATCCTCATAACACTCTCATTGATGAAGGAAATATGTTAATTGATAATGAAATTTATAATATTATTAATAGAGATTTTATTTCTATTGAATTAAGTGAAATGAATGAAGAGATAGAAAGTCTTGACAGAATTTTTGAAATATATTTAATTCTAAGTAAAGAATTAAATAGACCAATAACTAATAAGAGTTTATTAACTACAAAACAAAAGAAATTAAACTCTATTCCAATTGAATATTTTATTGGAGGAAATATTTTTAATAATAGTGTCGATTATTTAATTCAAAGAATTGAAGATATTAACATCAAAAAAGTAATTCAGTTGATGAAAAAAGACACTTTGGGTGTGATGGATGAAACATCAATGATTGAAATGTTATTAAAATCACTCAATAATCAATACATATGTTCTAACCTCACAAATGGATTCAAAGTATTCAATCAATTAATGAGATGTATTCCATTAACATTTAATAACATGAGTCAATTATTTAATTCAATAAACCAATATTGCAAAACAAAAAAAGAATTATTGGTTGATGACAACATTTACCAATTCATTGATTATAGTCTTCAAATTAATAAAGAAACAAGTGCTACTGTATCATTTATACTATTAATGACTATTTCATTAGTAATTAATTCAATTGAAAAACAACCCCATTCTAAAATAATAAATAATGATAGAAATGAATTTATCAAAGAAAATAATGAAATAATGAATATTATATATTGTGGATATAATGATGTATTTGATTCATACAAAATTAAAGTAATTGACAATGAAATTCATAATAATAAAATTAATGAAATTCTTCAAAAAAATTGTACTTATCAAATGCTTGAAAAATGTATTGAAACACCATTCATCTATGACTATCCAAAAAGTATTCCATTAAAACAAAATATATTTATAATATTATATCATTTCTTCACATTCAAAGAAGTTAAAAATATTATTGAAGTAATTACTAACAAGTATGAACCAGAAAACAAAGGAAAATTCTACATTCTTCAAGGACTTATTGCAGGAATTAAATCATTTGGAGTAGAAGAAAGATTAGAATGTCAAGAATACATTTTAAGTCATTGCGTAGATTGGCTTCAAGTAATAAATTCAAACCATGAAAATATAATGCATAATTTCATTAAGAATGATTATACATTATTAAAAGAAATCTATTCAAGATGTATTAAAAGTATTATTAAAGGAAATTATAACAAAACAATCATTCTCTTTGTGATCAAATATAGTTTTTGTAACTATTCATTGATTGAAACAACAGTTAATACATTGTTTAATGGAACAGTAATTTGTGGATGTTATAAAGAAGACATCAGTAAATTCATTCATATATTAATAAATGATAACCGATTTAACAAACAAATTATCAAATTACTCCTCCAAATTTTAAAAGATAATAATAAACCAACTTCTAATACTACTCTCAATGCTAATATAAATGTTATATTCAATGCCATTGATATAATTAATAGTAATACTATCGAACTTTACATTGAAACTATTCATACTCTGAGTACATTATATCCATTTGATAATTCTAAAATATTAAAACCAATTAGTATGGTAAAGAAAGAAGTTCAATCGCAATTTGTTGAGAAGATTCAACAACTTTATTTTGATTCTGATAAAAATGGTAAACTGTTAGTTCTTGATACATTATGCTCAATGAATAATTTGGATTTTGTAAATCAACTTAACTTTAATAAAATGATGAACACAAATAACTTTATAGTTAATTCTTGTTGTTCTGATCTTATGACACATTATGTTCAGAAAACAAATGACATTGAATTTTGTGAAAAGATTATTGAAAAGCAATTAGATAATAATATTAGTAATGAACATCTTTATATTACAGCATTATCATGCATTGTACTATCTCGAACACTCTTTATTACCAATTCAATTAAAAGTGCGGTTCATCAACTTCTTCAATTTAAACCAAAGAATAGTCAAATTAAGAAATATTGTAACAATACCTTAATGTCATTTAGAAGAAAGTTTGGTCAATTATTAAAATATGACAAAAGTATATTTTCAGAAGATGATATGGAATTATTAAGTTTACAAGCTATTCCATGGTATATGGCTTAACTTGTTGATTAAAATCATTATTTTGTAAAAACAAATAAAATATTAATTGAATCTTAGATTAATAAATAAATGGAATTAAAATTTTTCTATCCCCAACTTGGTTTTTGAACTTTCTTCTGTAAGCCAAATGAACACTTCTTGCTCTTGGCATAAGATTAGCAAATGTCCAGAGAAAAAATACAATAGCACCTGGAGATAATGTAAATATAGAAAAACCTAACCATTCAACTAATTCTCCAAAATATTGAGCAGATGTAACATAATCAAATAACCCACCCTGAGGTAATTTATGCTCTGTTTCTCCTTCTTTACGAAGATTTCTTATTATTTCATCAGAATGAACATTAATTGCCATTCCAACAAAAAAGACTAACACTCCAAAATAACATTGTGGAGTATTAAACCATCCTAAATAATAATGTGGTGGATGATACAAAAATAACCATCCTGCTTGTACATAACAATTACACAAATTAAATACCATTCCCATTAACATTATAATAATAGGCATTTTCCCTCCTTTTGACATTCTTAATGGGAAAATAATACTTCTTCTAAAATAATGAATTACAAAAAGAATTAATGAAATTATTGGGACTATTTCATCTACAGAAGAATAGACATAAAAGATAAGCATACCTATCATTGATACAATTTCCATAATACACCATCCAATTCTGTTGTTTATTGTCACTCCCCATTTATCAGTTTGAAACATTCCATATCCAGCAGTAACATAATGAAGTAGAACAAATACAATAAATCCAAGTATCACCATTACAAGAAGAAATAAATAATATATACTTTCACTATTCATTTTAATTCTACTATAATTAAAATTATGAAATAATTGTTTATTAAGTTCTTTTCAAAAGGAAAAGAATACTCTAAGAAATGGAGTCTTTAGAAAAACTATATTCCAATTAAAAATATTAATCAATACATTCATCATTCACAAAGAAAATATCTATCCTTTATAGAATCTCTCCAAACTGCATCAAAGAAATATTTGTTAAAACAAATTAATTCTTTTGGATGTTTACAAAGTTGTCCAAATTCATTTACCATAGCTGCATTTACAAATAATGTTTCTCCATATCTTTTTGTTCCTGTAGAATAATGACAATGACCAAAACAACAAAGTTGTGGTTGTAATGAAATAATACATCGAAGAAGTGCATTAGAACCACCATGCCTATATTTTTTATTATTTTTTGTACTAGTTGTTTGTCTAAGATCAAGTATTCCATATGGAGGTTCATGACTAATAATGATTAGTGGTAATTCTTTAATAATATTATTATTTGCCCATTCAACGATATGGTCATTTACTGGAAAAGAAAATCCAAGAAATTGGATATTATTAATTATTTGAATTGAGTCACTAAGAATATATAGTCTTGGTATATCTTCTAACCATTCTTTTAATTCCTTAATAATTTTCTTTTCATGATTACCAAAAACTAAAATAATATTGTCTGCTGGAACATCATTTAACCATTCTTTAAATCCTTTTAATGACCCTTTCTTTCCTCTCTCACTTATATCTCCACAAATTATCAAAAAATCACATGGTCTAATTTTTATTTTTTCATGTAATCCATGTGTATCTGAAAGAATGCTTATCAATAATGGTCGGGTCATGTAACTAAAGAAGTTCTCTTTATCTGATACTCTTTCTTTTTAAACTAATTATATTTGCATTTTTTGTTTACTTGGTAACCACGATATTTATAATGACTTTGACGTCTATTTTTGATGGTGAGAGAATAGTAAAATGCCGAATTTTCACTTGATTGGACAATTCCATCTTCAATTTTATTTTGAGTTTTCCATTTTGCTTTTTAAAAAGAAATGAATTTTTCTTGACTTTTATCCCTTTGAAGCATAACAAAAAGAGAAAAACATATTTCTGACTTTTTCATCAAGTAGAATTATTTTCATTTCCTCTTAATCTAAACAAGATTGATATTATCTTATCTCTTTTTCGTTTTTGTATAATGTAAGAAGATAATAACCCAAATAATAACCCAAATCATAAAATGAAAAGGAAATTGAAAAATATAGAAGTGAAGTACATTTATTAAAATTCCTCTTCTTATAAAACAAAAAGATTACTAAATCAAAGTCTAAAAAGATGGTGAAAGTACAATAAAGAACAAAAGAATATTACTTAAGAAAGAAGAGTCTAAATAGAAGAGGATTATTTGAAGAAATAAATTCAAATGATTCTTTTTATTACTTACAGAGAGTTTTTATGCTTTAAAAAGTAAAGAAGTTTAAAAAACCTAAAAAATAATAATTAAAAGGATAATTAAGAAATACAATAAAGAATTAGAAAATAGAATAACATTATAATAAAATATAATAAATGAATGATAGAAACATACCAAATAGTATCTTTACTAAATAAATCTTTCTTCTTTAAAAACAGAAAGAATGGATGAATATACTCCTGATTTTAGTGATCCTAAAGATTTTTATTCCATTCTTGGATTACCAAATAAATCAAATGAAGAAGATATTAAGAAAGCATATCGTAAATTAGCATTACAATATCATCCTGATAAATCTAAAGAAGAGGATGCAGCTGAAAAATTTCAAAAAATTACTGATGCATATAATTTCTTATCAAATTATAGAAATAAACGAGTATATGATTTGTTTGGATATACCATTTTTGAATATCAAGAAATAATTTGTCAAATGTCATTATGTTTAAATTGTATGTCATGTTGTTCTATTCCATTATTAATAATAATAGTAGGGTTATTTGATGTTTGGATTATAATGTTTTTAATTCGATTAGATGTTCCTAAGACATGGTATTTTGCATGTATTGAAATACCAATATATATTTATATATTAATACCTATTTTTTCATCTTTATTTGTAGAGGGAGCATTAAATAAAATTCTTTCAACTTTGAAGTGGGTAAGTTTTCTATTAACAATTATTTTCATTTCAATTGGAATGGATGATAGTATTAATACACATTGGGGAAATCTTTTAGTTCCAGCATTTTTCTTTGTGTTTTTTGATTTTGTGATTAGTATTAAACAGTTTTTTGAACCAAATATTGTTGTAACAATAAATCCAGAAGGTAAAAAAATAAAACATAAATATGAATATTCTTGTTATGAAGTGACTAAAAATGTTACATTTAAATGTCTTAAATCAAGTATATTACTTGGATTTATATCTTGTTTATGGTATGCACAATATATTAGAAAAATAAATGAAATAGAACCTGAATATACAGCAGCTACTTGGGTTTTTGCAGTTTATCTTTTTGTTAATGCATTAGAAGAAACATTATCTAATATTAAAATTACAACATTCTTTTCAGGATCAATATCAGAAAAATTTGATATTAAATTCATTATTTGGGCATGGATTAAATGTAGTTTTTATATTCTTCAAACATTTTTAATTGGATTAAATATTGGAAGTCGACATAATTATTATTGGACATGTGCATTTATTCCTATTTTAATTGTTTTAGCTTTAATTCATGGATTTGCCATTGTAGCACCTTGTTTGTCTTGTAAATTAACTCGAGATGTATTAAAGCTAGTTAATTACATGAATCCGTCAAAAGAACATGAAAGATATTATGATGGAAATGAAGAGAAAGAAGATAAATCAAATGGAGTAGAAGTAGAAGTACATAATGATGAGGATGAAGAGGAATAATTTAATGTTATAAAAAAGTTTATCTTATATGATTTGTTTTTGTATTTTAGAAATAAAAGTAAGAAAAAGGAGTTATAAAAACATTACAGCGGTAGAAACAAGATTTTTAGAAAGTTTGGAGAGAGAAAAACAAGCTTCTTTTACGAACGAAGACAATCTATCAGGAATAGTAAATAAACTATAATTAGTATTAATTAGGTAATTGAAAAAGAAAAAATCCAAAAGAAAGAACTCACTTGAAAAAGCAAATATAACGAGGAATGAGCGTTAAGGAAAACCAAGTAGAAAAGACAAAAGGGAGTGAAGTTAGTGATACTGAGTCACAATCAGATTCATATAATGGAGAATATAGTCATGATGATGAGTCGTATAGTGATAGTTATTCAGATTCCAAAAGTGTAGATAGTCAAAAAAGTGAAGAAAGTAGAACTGATGATGATACTGATGATGACGATACGAGAGAAATGCTTGAAAATATTATTAAGGAATATTCAGAATTAAAAAGAACAACTATTGCACAAAAGGAAGAGTTAGAAAGAAAGATTAGAGATTTGACACATAAATTGAATGAAGCAACACAATTAAATGAGACTCGAAAAGAACAAATCTTACAATCTGCTAATAGTATGAAAAAAATACTTGCTGAAATGACTAAAATGAAAAATGAACGTGAAGATCTTGTTACTCAAATTGAAGATGAAAGAAAAAATCATGCAGAAACTATTAAACAATTACATACATTACAAGGACAAATGATTAATGGAGGGGTTGGACCATCAGAATTAGAAATGACGTTTAGGGTATTATTAGATGGAACAAAAATTACAGATGCTATACTTATAAAAAATGTAGATACAGAGAAAGATGATTTACGAATGCAACAATCATTGTTAGAAAAGAAAGTTATGAGTTTAAATCAAGATATTGTATTACTTAAACAAGAAAGAGATTCAACAAAAGAACAAATTAAACAAAGTGACAAATTAAAAGATACTTATAATGATTTAAATAAGAGATATGAAGAATTAAATGATAATTATAAAAAAATTAAAAAAGAAAATGAAACATTAAAAAAAAGAGGAAGTGGATTATCAGGATTATCATTTAAATCTGAAAGTAATGAAAGTTCAGTATTAAAATCATGTTGTGAATCATTATTTACTACAATTCAATCATTATCTAATATTAATGAATTAAATAATAGTATTAGTGAAGTTGAAGAATTAATGAAAGATCATTTTTATCATAGACTAATGTTTTTACATATTCAAAATAAATGTATTTCAATATTAAATCCAACATTTATTCAATATGGATATACAACAAATGTAGCAATAGAACAACTTTATCTTTCTACTCAAAGTCATTCTTCATTTCAAGAAAAATTACCAGAAAATTTAAAGAATTATGATATGGTACTAAGAGAAATTTATTTATTTAATGAAAAGTTTAAGAAAAAAGATGTATCTCCAACAAAATTAGGAGATGATGGTATTATTTCATCATCAAGAACAACTATATCACGTAAAATAAGAAGAGGAAGTGAATTTACAGGAATTTATTCACCATTAATGTTAAATGTTGGGTCAACAAAAAGTTCACCATTTGGTTCTAGTACTGAACCACCAAGAGATAAAGATACAACATCAAGTACTGGAGAAGCAGCAAGAGATGTTGATGAATTAATTGCTAAAGTTAATCAAAGTGAAAAAGAAGATATAACATCACCAAAAGATGATATGAATATAATATCACATGTTTGGGAAGTTAATGGAACTATTTGGGCATGTAAAAAAGTAGAAGGAAATAAAAGTATGATATCTACATTTAATAGTATGGATTGTATGGAAATAACAAGTATAACACTACCATGGAGAATATCAGCAGTTCATTCAATAAATAAAAAAGTAATTTGTGGAAGTGAAAATGGAACAATAAATATTTATGATGGAGATATAAGAAATGAAGTTAAATGTGATCTTTCATTAGCTTCAAGAATTGTTGAAATTGGATCAGAAAAAGGTATTGTTTGGATTCTTTCAGAACAAGGGGATTTTGCTCTTATTGAATTTAGTAAGAAAATGAAATATAAATGGTATAAATTAAAAATCCCATCATTTACTACAAGTGCATGTGTATTAAAGAAAATGTTACATGTTGGTACTATTGGTGGTGTTTTTAGAACAGAATTTCCACCAACACCAAAAAGTAAATTTACAATGATAAAAGAAATTGGAAAAGTGCCTGTATCGAATATTTTAGCATTACATAATTCTCTTTATATTGCATTAAATACAAAAGATTGTATTACTGTTCTTCAAAAAGGAAAACAACCAATTACATTTGAAGTAAATAAACCAAATACACTTACTCCATTTATTAATGATGTTTGGGTATGTTGTGGAAATGGATCAATTAAAGCTATTAATAATACTGAATTAAAAATGGATAATGTTGCAACAATTGGTAGTAGTGAATTAGTTGGTGGATGTATTCTTAATATTGAAAATCCAGAAAAACATCTTTCAAATTATACATTATTCTTTGGATGTGGTGGTGAAATTCAATCATTAGTTACAGGATATTATAGACATTCATATCTTGTTAATAATAAAGAAGGTGTTTGTGCTAAATGTAAAGGAAAAGTACATTTAAGACAAGGATTATTATGTGAATGTTTGTTATATTGTTATTTAATAATAATAATAATAATAAATATATATTTATATTTTAGATTGTAATACAATTCTTCACAATAATTGTGTTAGCTTAAATTGGCTTGACAAAATTTGTTCAAGAGACCCTGAAAAACAAATTAAACATAAAGAAAGTAAGACACCTAAATCATCAATAATAAATAGCTCACCAACTCCAAGACGGTCGAGTTCTGTCTCAGTCAAGTATGTAGCACCACAACAAACAAAAGGTGGAGAAAGTGGAAGTGATTCACGAGAAAGTATACATTAACAATTAACAAAGAATTAAAGGCATTATCAATAAAACATAAAATTAGGTTAAATTTTCAACAAATTTTTGTTATAAAAGGAAGTGTTATATACAACAAGAAGAAAAAGAGATAAAGAAGAAAAACAAAAGGAATAAAGAATAGTAAAAAAAGTAGAAAGAATAGTAAAATAGAAATAAAAAATAATAAAGAACCCTAGGAATTAAAAAAGAAAACTGAAAAAAAGAACTGTTGGGAAGAGTCAGTCAAGATGAGAATTGCTACCAAAGATATCATCGCCATTTATAAACAACTTTTCAACGACGGATGCATTGTTTGCCATAAGGATTTTGTTTGCCTCCATCCAGTATTCGGTATTCCAAATCTTCAAGTCTTTATGTTGATGAAAGGTCTTGCCACTAAAAAGTGTGTCAAAGAAACCTGCAACTGGAGATGTCTTTATTGGACACTTAATGATGAAGGAATTGCTTATCTTAGACAAAAACTTGCTCTTCCAGAAGATGCTGTTCCATCAACTCTTAAACAAAGCATTCATACAGCTGTTCATGACGAAGCTAAGCAAATCCAAGGAGAAAGAAAGCTTAAGAAGGACTTCAATGCAGGAAAGAAACCAGAAATGAAAAAAGCTGAATAAATGAAAGTTTAAGTTGGTGTTTTGATTTAATTGTTTTATTCTTTAAAAGAAATAGTTTTTCTTTCTGAGAGATAATAAAACATAATAACAAAAGAGAATAATAAAAGAAAGAAATATTAGTTGAATAATAAAAAAGAAATTAGAATTGTTTTGAATATTTTCATAGATGAAACTTGATATTCAGTTGTACCTAATTGAGATGTTTGCTCCTATTCAATCTCTTAAGTCTATGGGTCCTAGATTAATTATTCAAAATGTTACTCAGTTTGGATTAATTGTTGCATCTGCTGTAATATTGTGGAAAGCACTTTGTATTTTCTTTTTTACAGAAGCACCAATTGTTGTTATATTAAGTGGTTCTATGGAACCAGGATTTAAAAGAGGTGATTTAATGTTTTTAACAAATAAAGGTGGTGTTGACAATATTCAGATAGGTGATATTGTTGTTTATAATTTACCATCTAAAGGAATTCCAATCATTCACAGAGTAATAGAAATTCATAAAGATACTAAAGGTGATGTTCGTTTTTTGACTAAAGGAGATAATAATCCTGTTGATGATAGAGGATTATATGGAGGTCCTTTATGGTTAAAACCAGATCAAATTATTGGAAAATCATATGCTCATATTCCATATGTAGGAATGATTACAATTGCATTAACTGATTACCCAATCCTTAAATGGACGGTTATTGGGTTATTGTTAATCAGTGTTTTATTAAACAAAGACCAATAATCAATTGAATTACATTTTGATCTTTTTTCTTTTTCTGTTGAAAACAAACTTTATTAAAATAAAGTAGTATATAAATGTATAAAACCTTTCATTAATTAATTCATAATTTTCTTATCCTTCTCCCTTCTTTTTTAAGCTTTCGGATCTTTAACACTTGGTTTTTCATATTTAAATAAATGACATTGCCCAAGGAAATTAACTGGATTATGTGTTACTACTATGTTTTGTGCAATTAAATGATCTAATATAATTCTATTTTCTCTATCTTCAGGTTGATACTTTAAACTCCATTTCTTAATTTCATGTTCTCCAACTCCATGTCTAGCTAACAACTCTCGTTTCATATTACTTTCTCCTCCATAATCTTTTGCAAACATTTTCATATTTCCCATTAAATAAAATTCTTTCTTAGCTGCCAATGCCGCTGCTTGTCTATTTAAATATGTGTTAATAGCAATTTCTTTTTGTTGTGCAAAATCTTCAACTGAGTACAACCATATTCCTGGTGATGTAGTTGTACCAAATGAGAGTAAACATCCAAGACTTTTATCTGCTTCTTTCATTGCATATTTTGATTTTGGATTACTATCATCAAAAACAACTACTTTATCTATTGATGAGTCTTTTGGCCATGGTTGTCTTAAACATCCCATAAGAACCTCATGTAATGTATAACATATTCCTCCTATTTTATATGCAAATTTCTTAAAATTACTAAGCATATCTTTAAATTCAATATTTGGTCTATGTCTCCAATATAATAATCCATGTAATAACATAATATGATATACATTAATCCAAAATGGTTCATGTTCTCCTGTTTTTAAATTATCTAAATTAATTACTGCTAATTCTGATGCTTGTTGTTCAAATAATTTGACTCCATCTAAATTATCTAACATTATTAATTCAATATGATAATCTAATACTCTTCCATAAAATCCACTTCTTAAATATAATTGAATAATAGAATATAATACTGACCTTGATACTTCTAATGGGTCTCTACTTGTCTCTTTAACTACATCTAATTCAGGATTTATATTGAAAAATTCTCTTTGTACTGGGAATTGAATTTTATGACTTACTATTCTTTCAAAATTCTTGAAATTTAATGATGTATGATAAATAGGATACCATGTTGGAGCTTTAACTCTCTTTGGATTTTCTACTGCTTCTGTTTCTTTTAATAAACATTCTGCTGCATTTACATTAGGATCACATGCAACACTAACAGGCATTGGTGGAACTTGACTAGGATCAGTAACATCTTCTGGAATATCAGTTCTAATTCCAACTTGACAAACTGGCATTTCTTGTTCTCCTGCTGGTGCAGTAGTAACATCTTCAAAGTATAATACTACTTTAAAATTAGGTGCCAATTGTTTATCATCTTTAAATCCTTTATCTAATTCCATTTTAGAAAATTCAAGTCTATTGTCATGAATAAACCATGTGTTAAACCAAATATTAAATATTCCTCCTTTAGATGTAGTAAATTCTAATTTAATATCTCCATGAATAGTAACTGGATCAATTGGGAATGAACTTCCATCAGTACCAAATCTATCTTCTCCTTCAATACATCTCATTTTCCAATCCCATGCACAAATGGCTTCTCTTGTACTAACAGTTCCTTTTTCTTCTTTTAATTCTCCATATATTTCATCATATAATTTTAATGCATCTTCTTCTTTCATTTTATTTTTTGAATCTTTAGCTGGTTTAAATGTTAATTTTCTATTATTTGTAAGAGACTTTTCACATACAAATTCATTAAACGTTGATACTTTCACAAAAATTTCATCTGCAATTCTTGGTGTTGGTGTCATTTCAATTTTAACCATTTTAACTGTTCGTTCACCAATATTAAATCGATACTTTAATGCAGCACTCCAATAATTAATATATTTAAGTTGTGATGGAATAGTAACACCTTTTTTATTAAATGTTCTTGTTGTTCCATAAAAATCAATTGCCTCATGTGCATTTAATGAATCAAGCATATAAACCAAAAAACATGCACTCATTAATCCTGTTCTTCCTTTTCCTGCTTTACAATGAAGTGCAATAACATTTCTTTCATCTGCTTTTAAATAATCATCTACATCTTTACAAAGTTGTGGAATAATTTGATATTCTGGTGCATTATGATCATCAAATGGAAAATATTCATATTCTCCTTTAATTTTATGTTCTCCATCATATGGTTTTTCTCTACAGAAATTATATACTTTATAATGTCCTTTATGGAATGTTTCAAAAAATTGTAATACATCAACTAATGGATTTCTATATGCAGCTTCAAATTTCTCACTTGGAAATCCCATAGCAATAATTCGTGGTGTAATATATGAAAGATCTAAATCAAATCCATATTGTTGGTATCTTCTTTTGGCTTTAGAAACAGCTTCTCTTATAACACTTGTCATTTTTTTGTGAATATTTAAGTTTTCTAAATTATTTAGTTCTTTCATGTCGTTTGTTTTTGTTTTAATTTTTCTTTTCCTTTTTTTAATGACTTATTTATTATTAAAATATAGTTTGTTATTCTACTCTTACAAAAAATTGTATTTCTTTTTATCATATATTTTTAGTTCTCTCTTTTTCTTTAACTAACATCTTTTTGAATTTTTTAGTAAAATATTTTTGATTTATTTAAAGAACATTTTTGTTGTTGTCATTTTTCTAATCCATCAAAAACAATCTTTCAATACTTCTGCGTTTGAATGGATCTTATTTCGTAGGAAAGTCATCTCTTGTAACAATTTTTCTTTGGAACTTATTTTTTTAAAATAAACATAAGTTTCTTTTTTGGAAGTTCATTGTTAAAAATTTTAAATTAACTTTCTATAATAAAAAAATAATTTTTTTTCTTGTATTGAATTATGTTATTATTAAAAAGATGAGTGGCAAAATAATTTTTCAACCCCATAATTTATTTTACCTTAAAAGATTATTTTCATTTATTTGAATTATTTTTTATATTTTTGAAAAGCTTTCATACCCGTTGATATTTCTAGAAAATATTCAATTAAATATGTTAAAGCAACATAAAAAGATGTAGTACTAAGTTAGAATGAGAAATTTATTCACTTTAACTATCAAATACATCACATAATTCTTTTTTATTTTCCTAAATTATTACAAAATTTCAAACAAATCATTTCTATTCATTTCTTTCAAATAAGTAACTCTCATAATAACTATAAAATTTTTTAAAAACAAAGTCACTATCCAATATTAATTAAAATATTCAAGGCAACAATATTACTAAATAGTCATTGATTAATATTCAATCGTTAAAAAAAAGTTATAAAATTAGCTGAAACAAAACATTAAGATATAACAAAAAATAAAACACATAAATATTTTTATTATTTTGTTTTAAAAGATGTATTATATGAACAAAGTACCTTTTTTTTTCTTACACAATGATAGATAAATTAATACACAACAAGAAAATGTTCAATCTAAATTAAAAATAATACACATTATTATAAAAACTCTCTAAAAATACTTAAAGAAGGATTTTATTAAAAAAAACATCTTCTATATTAAGACTGAGAAGGTTGAATGTAAAGATAAAAATATTTTAAAGTTATGAAAAGATTTAGAATATTTATACTTATTTAAAAAATTTCAATA